AATTTATTGTTAGAATGTAAATAATCAATTAGTTCTTTTTAATAATTTAAAATTTTAAGATAATTGATCCGGTTAATTATTTAAGATTTATTAAAATAAGATATTTTGAGATAATTAATTTAATTTCCTGAAAAAATTAGGTATCGTATACTTTTTTATTTTTGAAGGCGCGTAAATCTTTTAATATGAGTGAGAAAACCAAGGAATATATATATATATATATATTACTGTGAAAGCTGGAAACAGCGCATGGCTTTTCAGAAAAAGAGAGAGGATTGACATAGGGACTCATTAGCAACTTTCACCATGAAAAATCTATCCTGCTGCCTGCACGCCTGCTTTTTTGCATATAATAAGAAATCGACCCCATTTGTTTCATTACTTACCACATAATCATTCTCTTTGACATGCATGACCCAACTCTTTTTTTTTTTTTTTTGTAAAACCTCAAGACTCACCTGTTTGTTTTTGGACAAGAAAAAACTACAGATTAATCTTTTTCTTGGGTAAAAGTTAGATTACAAATATTGTTTAGCTAAATTAGCAAAGTTCACCCAAAAATGGTCGAGAAAAGCTTCTGAAACTTGGAATCAAAATCTGGAAACTCAGGGAAACAGAAAACGAAGGACGAAGAAAGCATGAGGGTCAAGACAATCTGCTGAATATCAAACCAGGAAAGGAAATTCTTTCTCGGGCGTGAGCAAATCCAAGAGGAATCATGGCAAGGCTTTGAATGATGAAATAAAGGGAAAGAAGAGGATCTGGGTTCCGCCTTCCCAGCGGCAGGGTTCGCGATTTGCGTGCGGCACTCAACTCTTAAAATGATGAGGGAAAGTTCTGGAGCGGCCACACCGCAAAATCAGGGACATAGTAAGGAGGAAGAAGCAGAGAAAATTAATGCGAACGTTGAAGAAGGTAATCTGCCGTTCAATCCACGGCGAATCCGTTAGGAAAATAAAGGAAAGGAAATCACTATGAAAGCGGAAGAGAAATGGAAGTGGCAGCGCAGATGGAGGAGCCCGAGGAAGCTGAAGACAACGACTATGAAAAAGCTGTTATTGGTTTCGGTAAGTCATTTGCTCCGTTACGTGTGCATGGGAAGAGAAACGAAGACGAGAAGAAGTAGGGATAGCAAAAAAATCCGAGACCCTGATTAGAATTAATTAATTTTTCTCATTATGAAAAATCATAAATTGACAAGAGAAAATAATAAACGAGTGGTTATGAAAAAAAAAAAATTATAAAAGAGCAATTATGAAAAAATTAAAATAGAATATCGGTAAATTAAATAGTAATTAAATTGAATAAATAGACGGTTATGAAAAAAAAAAAGATTAATAAGCTATTATAACTGTCTATATATATACCATGTATCATTATGTTTTGATCAAATAGAAGTTTGATGTTCTTTATTGAAAATTATCAGTATATTTGTTTAATTAAATAATTTGCACCAATAACAGTTTACAATCTTTATTTTAGTCCCAACAACTTGTATCAAAGTTTGATTCTGAGTAAGAGTTTTAACAAAACAGTAAATTTATGTTCCCAACGTGTGTTTATATAAGTATGATGTAGTCGATGGCTCCTATACTTTAGGAAAAAAACAAGATATGTGGAAGATCAAGATATAAACGCTGCTACTATAGTTGAGAATTGTTATTATCAATTTATTACTGGACATCAACTAACACTAGTAAAAACAAAGAAGTCTGGCAAGATATCATATGAAAAATGTGCGAGCCCTATTTTTTCAAACAACAGGGTATTTCAAAGAAATTATTTTTTTGAATAATTAGTCTAACTAAATCGAAAGAATTATGAGATATATTGTAAGAAGAGTTTCGGGATTTTCTAAAGGTGAATGCTGGGAAGTTGCAAATCTTGTGAAGACAATTTTAAAATTGGAGGGATATACTGAGAATTTTCAACAAAAATCATCAAATTTCTATCTAATTAAAATGAGGGATGCAAGTACACAATAATATATGACATATATATAGGCAGTTATAATTATTTAATTAATCTTTCTCTTTAAAATCGCTCATTTATTTTAATTTTTTCATAACTATTCATTAATAATTTTCTCTAGTAATCAACCATTTATGATATTCTCTAATAATGGGCTATTTATGATTTTTCATAAAGAAAATTTATCAGTTCTAACAATTTCACCCTTTAATTCATTTTCATAAATTTATCAATTTATGATTTTCTCAATTATGCATGAACTTTTATTTGGTCAATATTTTTATAAAGATGTATGTTGAATGTTCTATCTAAAAAATTTGAGTTGTACTTTTTAGTGCTCTACTACTTCTGAATGTAGTGATATTTGATAGCAATTTATTTGGTCATGTCATGATTAACTAGATTCTTACTAACTGTAGTTACCGATTTATTATCACATAATGTTATTGTTGGTTCTTCTTATTGCTCACTAATATTTTTTTAAATTTTTTTTAACCAGACTATTTGTGTGATAGCACGAGATACTACTATATATTTAGATTCAGCTGATGATAAAACTACTATACTCTACTTCTTTAATGACCATGAGCAAAGACTCTATCCAAGTGAGAGAGGTTATTTTTATGTATTTTTCATGTTATTAACACATACGACCCAATCACTATTTGTATAATTGATTAATTTTGAGTTTTCTTCTCGTGTGTATGATACGTCATAATTTGTTGTAGTTTTAATATATTGGAACATACTCTTTGCAGTAGTGAAATCTAATTAACTTAAACTATTCATGTATCTTAATAGTAGACTTATAACAAACATGATTTCCAGTCGTGTTGCGATCGAATAAGATCTAAATTTAGTTTGAATCTATTATTAACTTTGTTTCAAATTCCATAACCTTTTTAACATTTTTGACTTAATAGTCATGATCTCCTCAATGTAGGTTATTCAAATTTTCTGTATATGGAAACTTGGGTATTATTATCCAAAACGAATATATAAAGCATCTCAGGTGACGATGTAGATTTCTTAAGTAGCCTATATATATATATATATGCTTTAATTGAGATTCACTATTTATAACGTGTAAATCTTTAATTATAATAGATATTATGCCATTTAATCAACTTTCACTATGTTGAACTCAACTCCTGCATGACCATTTAAAATAGACTACTACTCTTCTAAAAGGACCATTCTTAGAGACAAATATTTTTTTTGTTCTCATGAGTTTGCAAAGTTATTTTAAATTTACATGTCCTAAGTAGAAGAAGTAATTATTTGAAGCCGAGATTATGCACCAAACCATGTGCACGTCTTAATATAGAGATTTAAGATCTAAAACTTTACAAGGTAGGAAAGCGTACCAACCTACGCGTAATCATCAGCATCCTAACTGAAGTGAAGTTTGTAGTATTTGCAAGAGAATGGGAGATTAAATAGATATAGAAAGAAAATAATCTTTTAATTTGAAGGTGTCTTCTTAGCCTCTTCCATGCCTTCCCTTCCTCGTAAGCATTCACCAAATGACAAAGTTGCATGCAGATCATCCTAATGGCTTGCCTTTGAACTCAAATACCCCCATTTGGAAGCAAACAAATGAATCAAACACATTCATTTATTCTACAATCTTATAAATAAATAACTATATATCATAAACCAAGAGTTCCAAATTATATTTGAAAAACATTAAAGAATAAAATCAAAATATTTACTTCGTACTGTAAATATAATTATAAATAAATAAAAAAATTGCTAATGAGATAATAACTAAAATCTAAACATTTAATAATAAAATCAAAACGTAAAAAGTATAAGATAATCTCTAAAGAGGAGCGAGGGTGGTAATTTAGCTTTTCTATTGGATTAATTTAACTTTCTTCCAATTTGATCACAATTTGAGAGCATTACAATCGGGATAAAGCTAAATCACTGAGGAAGTAAAATCTGTAAGATACAAATTAAAAAACAATAATAATATATGAATAAATTATCATGTGCCAGAATCATAAGTTATTTTGACTAATGGAGTTAAAATTATAATTTTTTTATGACGATGAACTAAAAATTACCAGAATTATATTACAAAACCATCTTTTACTAAAAATAACAGAATATATTATTTTTCAAAATAAAGTAGGGCCAATTGACAACCTACGAGGTGCAGCCCTGAGCCTCTGACTAAAATGTTGCTGCATCGAAAGGAAAGGGAGGCTTAAATTTGAACTCTTCACTTATCCTCACTTTAAAAACTAAATTTTCAAACAAGAGACAAAAGTAAAATGATTTTCTTTTCTTTTCCCTCCATTTCGTTCTATCCAAACATACCCTGAAAGAAAGACAGAAGAATAATAGACACCAACGCTCGTCTTTTCCCATAGAGTTGACTCAAAAGGGTTGGATATCTTACGACCATCTTTTCCCAGACAAAGAAATGAGCTGCACAAGAAGTCGATGTAAAAAGGATTAGAATTTTCTCATTTAAGCACAAACTAGCATGCAAACATATATCAGAGAACAAGAGGAAAAGAACCCATTGCATAAACCTTCTCAAAGATACTAGTAAATATTAAAAATCAATATGAGGGATCTTGGTATCATTCTGCTCGTTCATTTATGGAACATTTTGATTTTCCATTCCCTGTTTCCTCCTAAAGTTCTATGGCAAGGATCAGCTAATAGTTGATTGCTGAAATATGCTGAAGATATACACTGAACTGAACTGCTACATTCAAACTCAACACTGCAGCAAGCTATCAAGTTTTTATACACAAAGGTGAAAAATCAGTTAGGCTAAAAGAAATCCACCTGACGAGCAACTTGTGCCAACCGTCGATTGTCCCTTGATGATTCATTTATTGGAATAGATTTTTGTGGCTCTTGCCCACCAATTTGTTTTTCATCTCTTATCTTCTTCTCGGTGCTCTTCTCAGCAGACTTGTTTTCATCAGGGTCACTAAAGGATTCCTTCTTACGCTTCCTTTGGAAGGTGTATTTAAGGGGCCTATTCTTCTCTGTGATACTAGAAGATCCATTAGTTTCTCCACATATTTTGGCATCTTCCAAGTCAGAATTCACTAATGATACATTTAATGTCTCATGGTTTATCTCTGTTGATGGAACCAATGAGTTCTCCATAGCATCATATTCGCCTTTCCTCAACATAGGTTCATCTCTTACTTCAATATCCTTTTCTGCAGCATTTGTTGATCCTGACAAAGAATCTGCATTATCTTTAACTAAGGTGAACCCTGAATCTGGATGAGTTAATGACTCTATCTTAGCCTCATTTTCATCCATCTTTGACTCATCTTCAATAGGTTTGTCAACATGGAATGAATTAAAGTAGGTACCACTACCGGTAAGATCAGAAGATTGTTGACTAGGTTTGGCAAACTGATGTGGAGATAGTGGTGAGAAAGCAACAATATCCCTAACTTTTACCTTCCTGTTTCTTTTTCTTTTACGGATGATTGCAATTTTATCACCATAAAAGATGCTCCTATGCTGCAATTGCTCTTCCAACCTTCTGGAATTTTTTTCAATATCAACATTCTCAGTCTTTGTAGAGCATTGAGTATTAGAACACTCATCAGATTTGATGTTTTTGCAGCGAGCAAGGACAGAAGATGATTGATCAGGTTTCTTGAAAGGCCGAGGCCTGCATGAGGTAGATTTCGCTTTTCCAAACCGGGTCTTTCTTCTTCTTGTTGTGTGGGTATTGATGTGAATCCGCTCTCCTTCCTCAGGAAAGTTCTTGGTGCCCATGTTTTTGCCCTTAAAAGAGGTTATTGTACATTTTCCATCATCATTAGCACTCTTGCCAATGACCAGGTCATTCTTTCTGAGGGAAGATCGATGACCTACGTCTTCTGAAGAAGAAAATTTTACATCTCGTAGGTTGTGGTCAAGTGCACGGATTCTCTGGGTGCAACCATTTCTACAGAGCTCAGGTTCTTTACTGTTCATAATAATGGAGGCTATGTCAGAGTTATGAGTATAGTATCCATCTATATGAGAGATGCTCAATTGTTCATTTTGCGTTGTTGGGTTGCAGTATTTGTCGTCTAAAGGACTCTGGCTCAACAGGGTGTCCCTCGTATCAGAAAGTGACATGGATATAATCCCAAATCTTGGAGGGGTGACTCTGATGGGATCAGAGCTTGCATTTTGGTAGGAATGTAGATCCTCTTTTGAATTTTTTATATTCAAAAGCTGCACCTGGTTGTTCTTCACCTTCTCCAACTTATCTCTCACACAGCTTAACTCCAATCTAAGATCGGTTATAATATCCTCAGCCTCATGAAGCTGTGCTTCAAGCTCATCAATTCTCCTTTGCTGGTTCAAAGATGTCGTCTCTGTTTCAGTGGTCTGCAAAACAAAGAAAGACCTAGTCAAATGCTGTACTAACTGCGGACAACATCTAAGAGAAAGATACCAGAATAGGACCTACAAATAAGACTTAAAAAGTTTTATTTTGACGCATTTAAGATTGTGCTCAATACAGAGAAGATCCTGAGGGGGAAAAGAAGTGTTTTTCGTTTTTATTGGCATGCTCAAGTGCAAAAGGAGCACAAGGAAGTTAAGATAAATCGTGTGTCCTCTTCTTTGCATTGACCCCACCCCACCAACAAAACAAATTATGTTCTGTATGTCTTGCCCAAACAAATATCAGCAATTAAACAACAGAACATAGAATTCAAGCACATATAAGTCGTAGATAACATCAAAAAGTTACCTTCTATCTGTATAAAATCAGAATTTCTATTTGCTTTTATCAAAACCTTCCTTATTCCAAATCCTCAAAATACCATTCCACCTATTCTAGATCCCCTTCCTCATAAAATATTGTTTTGCACCCCAACGTACATAGGGACATGATTATTAGTAACTTGTTATTCCTAAGAGAATTAATTGCACGAGTCAGAAACCAAAAGTTTGCAGCTTGTTACTGAAACTTAACAGTTTGTGTTTAACAGTATCAAGTTTCATGCATGAGAAACTTTTTGCCGATTAAGACAAAGCGTAACAATGCAGCAAAGGAAAGAAGTCCACTTCATACATTACATGCAATTGACATTAGAAAGTAGTCTGAGAATATCCAGTAAAGAAATTTTCATTCAGGAAACAAATCCAAGAAATTTTCATTCAGGAAACAAATCCAAGAAATTTACATTCAGGAAACAAATCCAAGAAGGCATAAAGTTTTGTTTCAAGATACTACCATTCATATGTACCCTGGGAAAGGTAAAAGGGTCCAGTAGCGACATGCTTACGTTAAGATCATCATACACAACATCCTATTTTATGACTATCAGGCAGAGTAAGAACATCAACACTCATGTTAAGCCATCTAACTCTACTTAAAACACAAATGCATCATAGAGATGCCTGTCATCTATGCTATAGGCAGCCATGATATTAAGAGCTCCTGGACAATTTTGCACTTCCCATTATCTCCAAGAAAAGAAAGGCACAATACAACGGAACATTACCCAAGATTTAGGAATTCGAAGGTCAGCTACTGCAACCCTCATAATCATGTCTCAACAAACGTCATCTGCTTTAAAATTACTTGGAAAAATTACATTGACACTGGCAAAGCTAAAGGACCAAGATGAGAGGTTGAAAACAGTGTTTCTTCAGCCAACAGCACCTGCAAGTTTCTTAGAGCATCTTACCAATCTGCTTGAAGTATCAAGATTTGGGGTAGATCCTAGGTCATCAGACATAACCATGAAGTTTCCTCAAAAAGCTAGCTCGAGGAGCTGTTGGCACAGTTGCTTTTGTATTCATATTGTACAAGTAACATGTCCAAATTTTGATATATCCAAGATGACAAGGGTTTTACCCCTCTAATAATCATATATAAGAAATATTACCAAGATGACACAAAGGAAAGATTGTCTTCTTTTCGCTCAGATTTTCAAATAGAATATCTAAGAAGTCTCACTATACTTGATAAATGAGACTACTAAAACATTTAACAACCATAAAATATTCAAAAAGATAACTTGATAAATAGTATAAAGTATAACAATTGCACTGGCTTCATTGCTTATCCGATTCTCAAAAACCATTTAAAGGACGTAAAATCTCACCGATAAATCTTCTTGGAGCCATAGGTTTGCCAATGTGTTCTCAGCTTGAACATTCTTCCTTAAAAGAAACTAAGAAAGTACTTTGCTAGCATTTGACCTATAAAAATCTATCTCATGTTTCACTACTGTGCTAACCAAATAATTAATTAAATTACAACTCCCAACAGCCAAAAGGTATCATTCAATTCAATACCTTAATCTACTCTCTTTGGAAAGAAAATAAAGTACATTTTCGAGGAGGGGTAAAAAATATAGGATTCGCAATAACCAACAAACCAAATATGTGATAAGAACATTCAGCAATCACTCAATTCCATATTTAACTACTCTACTCTCTTTGGAAAGAAATGAAATATAATTTAAAGGAGTGTAAAAAAACTACAATTTGCAGTAACAAAGAAACCAAATACATCATAAGAATATTCGGTGATCAAAATTTTGGTTCAATAATCGTAGTTTCCAAAAGAAAAAAAGTGTTCATCTCATTACCTTAACTGATAGTTTTACCATTTCAAGAATCCAAATGATATTCATTTTCACAAAATGCAGAATAACAACGGTGAAGATTTATCACACAATTTGGTTCTCAAAAAAGATACAGGAAAAGGAGTAAACGGACTCACTTTCACATCAAACCGTAACATATCAGTCAATGGAAACAAAGGTTGGAAGATTATTGATTGAACTTTTATATCATCAGACGGGGACTCAAAATTCCAAAAACAAAAAACCCAAACATCATAATTGAAAACACATTTTGATTTCAATTTCTAGTTTTTTTTGCTTCGAAGAAAACTACCTTAGCATCGATCATCTGCTTCAAGCGTACAAGCAAGCGAAGGGCCTCCTCTTTGGTGCCACTCAGATCCTGCTGGAAGCGAACTGCTTTCTGCTCCGACGCCATTACTCTGGCCGCTGCCTCTTTAGCCGTATTCAGTATGATCTCCGCGTATGCGTTCTTCAGCGCCACCGTTTTCTGCAAGAATCGAGACAGATAGAGAAGAAAACACATCGTTTATTTACAAAAATAAAAAACAAAACTTCGAACAAAAAATCACAAACGAAACACGAAAACATTTATCAAGAATCTTACCTCCGATTCTTCCATTGCTCTTGTTTTCTCGTTTGGATTTGTGTCTGGGTTTGGATTTGGGTTTTTCCTGTTCTTTTCTAACGCAAATTTGACCGCCCAGTGTAAGTAGAGAGCTAAAAGGGGAGGTTAAATTCTCTGTTCTCTTCTCTTCTCGCCTCTCGAGTCTGTTAGGAACTGAAATTATTGCATTATTACCTTATTACCCCTGCATTTTTATTTAAATTACTACCACTGGATCTTTATGCAGCCGAGTAATAGCTGATTATAGCAGCAGGGAATGCTATTAAGGAATGAAGGAGGAAAACGGCGTCGCTTCGTTCCATTTTGGGTCGTTTTTCCAGTTTCGTCCAAGGCGCGCTAGGAAGGAGTGGGGTCCACCACCGGGGAGATTTGGGTCGGGTGCATTATTCGGTCTACAAAAGCGCGGTTTATTGGACAATTTTTCGATTTTAAAATTTTGAAATACGATGCCGGTTCTGCACAGGTGCGAGTCGGGGTCTTGTGACTTGTGAGTCTCAAAGGTCAACACTTTTAACACCCATCTTAATTATTTCATAACTAAAACTAAAATTAAAAAATAATGAGGGAGTTTAATAAGATATAAAAATTAATTAATTAATTTACTAATTTATTTAACAAAAATAAAAAATTATTTACAGCGATAAATTGTTTTTCCAAAATAAGAAAATAACTAAAACTACAGGAAATTTTGAGGAAAATAAGAAGAATATTAGTATTAATCCAAAAATATATACTGACAAATAGAAATTTTAAGGAAAATAAAAATGATTTATATTGAATAAACATAAGGCAAAAATAATTGTATAAGTTTAAAAATAAAATTTTTAAGATAACCATGCTATTTAAATTTTTTTTTTAAAAAAAAAAACAAAACTAGAAAAAAGATATATCAACAGAAAATAATTGAAAAAAAAAAAAACAATGCTGAAAAAATAAAACCGAATGGAATTTTAAAATATTTTAAAAGAACTACGACTAGAAAAGGAAAAATGAGTAACTTAGGTGGGGATGCCATTGTAAAAAGAATATAGAAATTGAAAAAATAAATTAAAATTAAGAAAAATTATGATGATGCCACTTATTGGGACACTTTACTTACACTGAATGAGTAGAGTTTAGGATAAATTTTACTTGATTGTAAAATTACAAGTCACCTCATGTTAAATAAATATCAATGACGATGAAACTCTTGCAACAAAAGAAAATATAAAAATCTTACATATTTTTTAACATTTTTAATGTAATAATTGTTGATATATCTTAAATTTTAGTGATATTTATCTATATTTTAAAAATAATTTATTTAAATTTTTTTTATATTTATCATGAAAAATATTTAATGCATATTTTAAAGAGTTTTTATTTGTAAAAAATTCTGCTACTATCTCTATAAATAAGTTTGCTAATATATTGGTGATGTACTCTCAGATTACATAGTGAAATTCTTTCTTACGGTCTTGC